CTGATTTGGTTTTAAGTTTTCTCAACCACTAAGCGCAGACACCGACTGCGCACACATGCACCCCTGTATGAGAATGCATGAACACGCATACATACAAAGCCCAATTCAAGCGCAGGGCAACCTTCTTTAAAATGCGCGTCTCTGCGACTGAACGACCGAACTCGAGTAATGAGAGCGAAAAAAACCCGAAGGCACACGAAGTGTCCTGGGCCTGCCGCTACCAGCTGTGTGGCCTCCCGCAAAGTTTTTTGAGTGTCCATATTGGTTGTATGAAATGTTGTATGGTTAGTGATATAACATAATATACATTAGTTATCATTTCTTGTAAAAATAATAATAATTTTTTGGTTTGGAAACAATAATATTAATTTATATCTATATATATCTAGATGGAAGATCGTGTGGGTGGAATCTTTTCAGTCTTCTTTTTGTTGGTCTACGAGTAAGACTTCTGGCCAGGGAGTTAGGATGAGAGCCAAGTCGTCTAAAGCGCGTGTGTCCTACAGACATCGCCTATCTTTGGATTTTAAAGATCTCTTTCGATGTCTCTAGTTCTCATGTACCAGGGGACATTGCAAAGTAATCTAACGATTTTACTTTGTGCAACTCGAATTTTTTTGAGGTGCGATTTAGCCTTGTAGACTTGTAGCAGGATCAAGATAGATTTGTAAATGCAAACTTTGTTTGACAGTGAGTGCTTATTTCTCGGAGACAGGAGACACGACATCATGGCTGCCTTTAAAAGCACTGACTGCTTGAAATGTGTCTCTGAAATGTAAGTCCTCTGTCCAAGATCACACCACGGTACTTATAAAAAGTCTCGTGAAGAAGAGAAGTGCCATGCATAGTTATTCCTGAACAATCCAAAGGTCTTTTCTCGAATGTGACACAAGCACATTTGCTGCAATTAATGCCTATGTTCCATTCAGTGGTCCACTTCTCATCACATACTCTTGTAATCCTGTTGTTGCAATGTCTATACTAGTACTCCTGACCTTTACAGCAGCGTCGTCGGCATACGTACCCATGAGCATGTTATCCTCGTCAACTTCTGTACATTGCCAGGAATCAGGTACAGTACACTGCCTTGGACGATTTCTCACCGTCGACAACCACACTGAATTTCCTATTTGATAAAAAGCTTTTGATAAGAATAAAAAGCTGGGGCGCTAATAGTCTTTAGCTTGCTCAGAAGACCATCATGCCATACCCTGTCAAAGGCTTGTTGTATATACACGAATACAGCAACCTTGTGCTCCATAGCTTCCAAGGCAAAGTGAAGCTGTTCGGGGGTACCTTGTCTTTTTACGGAAACCAAACTGCCACTTTGGAATTGCTCTACACAGTTTTCAAGTTTAAGAACTCGATCCAGTATCACCCTTTCCATAATTTTTCCCAGTGTAGATAAAAGACTAATTGGCCTGTATGCATCGACTTCAGTGGGTTGCTTTCCAGGTTTGTGGATCATCGTGATATTCGACGATTTCCATAAGGTAGGATAATGTCTCAGCCTGAGAACACTGCTGAACAGCAGTACTATAAAAGCACAGCCTTTCGGGGAAAAAGCTTTATAGTCCTATTGTCAAGAAGATCCTCGCCTTGAGTTGTTTTAGCTTTTAGATTTCTAATCTGAGTTTGGACCTCTTCTGGTGTAATTGGGTTCGCATTTGAACTAGAGTTCTATTTTCTACCGGAGTGAGGTGTAAAGGCTTGAATCTTTCCTCTAAGCAGCTTGCAAAGATATCAGTTTTCTGTTGACTGGAGCTGCACCACCCACCAGCCGGATTTCTAATGGGAGCATTCGGAATGACCTGTCGTTTATATCGATTCGTGAGCTTCCACAAAGAATAGTTTTGAAGATGCATCTGGACTTGCATATTCCATTATATGGTCAAACTGGTCTTGCTTGTTTTTCGCCAAGACCTTGCTTTGCCGATTAGATAGCCTCTTGTAGATATTGTATACACGGACATCACCTGTTCTTGAATATTCCCTCCTAGATCGTTTGTTTTGTTCAATGAGAGCTATAGCATTTTATGGAAGAGGACTTCGTCTAATCTGGCTATAAAGATTTTTCTGTTTCGAAGACGCAATAGACGCAGCCCTGTATATTTTATCCATTAATATCTGTACCGCATCTTCGATATCCTCTGGATTACATATTTCAATATTCAGATTAAAAATTCTGTCTAAAGCATCATACAATTTTTCGATGGAAGAGCCGGGCGGTAGTATGGTTTTTCTTCCGGGCTTATATTGCACTGTATGGCTTAGTGTTGCCATAACCGGCAGGTTATCAGAGGACAGTTCATATTTTGTTTCGATTGACAGTTTGTTGATTGAAACCCCATTTGTAATGAAAAAGTCCAGAGCCGTTGGAGTAAGCCTTGTGTTAGATGAGAAAAAGGTAGGTTCATTAGTAGCAAGAACTTGGCAGGAGCTAATTGCTATTGCTTCTTGTAGACGTTTTCCTCGACCTTAAGTTGCCCCAACTCCAGCTAAAAACCTGGGACCCAGAGTGCTCAGAAGTTGGTCAAAGTCGATTTTTAACCAGGGCTGGTTTGGACTAGACTTGATAGTTGTAATTATAGGCGCATTCTAAAAGTGTTGAATGGTGGCTCTGATAGGGACTGCAGAACCGCCCTTAGCACAGTATAGATAATAGCCAGGCATGCAAACTTTAAGTCCAGGTTGCATATGAGTCTCAGTAATTGACATAATGTCGATTGTGTGGGCAATAAGGAGAAGTCGAAGTTCTCCATTCTTTTGTACTAATCCTCTTGCATTCCATAATCCGGTTCACATGGGCGATGCTGTCATTTTTTGGGAATAAGAACTTGTACTAGGTCACGAAAGGCCTTGTTCGATTCTATCGTTTCCGTGACTAGTTTGAACAGTTGCTCCAATCCAGCGTTAATATCAAATATTTCCTTCTCAAGGGTAGACAATTTCCTGTTGGAGTGCAGTCGTCTCCAGAACTATGTGTGAGAATTTGTCTAGCTCTAACGATAGCAGTGTTACGAGAATTAATTCTTGTCATGTCTGCGTAGGAGACGCCATCTCTAACAGCCGAAATTGAAGTTGAATGTGCATTTCGGCTTTCATTTGATTTATTGCTGTTGATGCTGGGTAATCTTGCAACTGCTTTCAGCTTTTTGCTCAGTTCCATTCTGACTTTGCAGCCTTCAAAACTGGCGGTGTGGTTTTCTCCACAATTAGCACAACTGCGTTGCTGAGATTTGATTCACACGATTTGGAGTTATTACGGTGCACTCCTGCACAGTTCCCACACACAGTCGTTATGAAACAACAATTTCGTGTATGACCAAAATTTTGCCAGTTATAACACTGATCGAGGTCCTTATTGCGAGCAGCCTTCTCCACAGTGACCCTGTGTCTACCTATTTTCTTTATTTCTAGTGATTCGGATTCATTACGAGTCTGCTTAAGGTTGACATAAAATACATTTTGTCATGTTTTTGCATTCAAAATTTCTTCGCTGTCATTATCCTCCACAGCAATTGCACGCCAACCACGCTTTATTGGCCAGTATATATTATATTTGAAACGACAAATCCCTTATCAGTGAAGCAACGCTCTATTTCCTCCCTAGGGACAGTAAAATGTATGTTCTTTATCACCAGCCTTTATCCTCTCGGAGCTGAAAATGCCAAAACTGGCAGTTTAAAGCGGTCAAGCTACGAACTACTTTGCTGAACGCTTCTGCGAGAAATTTCATGCCTAGAAGTACGTACATATATCGTAATCCTATGCGGAGATAACCTGATTAAGTGTACTTTCCTGCGTTTCCATGTTATTCATCTTGTGTACATAAATTGGTGGAGGTTTCGGATTAACCAACTGTGTTGATCTCTGACCCTGTAGAGAATTGGGTTCAGAGGTCTCCTCGTTAATCTCCATCTCTTCGAAGGAGTTATTCTCCTCAGCCAGTGGTGCGGTTATTGCCCAGTCCATTTGACGTCAATTTCTTGTCTTTCACCGGGCAGAGCGTGTGCGAGCGAGAGACAAGACACTAGCCCAATGGGCAGAGTCGAACACAACGTTGATACTTTCGATCTAGTGTATAATGTTTTTGCAAGCTTGGTAGAGACACCGGCGCGGCGGGCGGTGTCTAAAAATAAGAGCACAAACAAAAGAAGTTGGAGATCATTCCGGTTCAAGATAAGAGCTAGTCACGACCGTTCGAAACAAGTGCATAAACTCGACTGTCACGCTTCGCTGTGGCATATTAATGGATGCATAAATAAAAAGACACAAAGCAAACGTTTCATAACCATTTAATTTTTAACATTCGTGGGTATAGGTTTGGTGATGGTGATATTGCCTCCGATTTCTTATAAAAGTGATCATCGCGGTAAAAATCGCCTTGGTCTAAGTCCAGCGCAACCTGTTGAGGGTCGTCGGCCTCGGGGACCGTTCCGAAGCGATTCTTTAAAACCTTGTAAGGAACTGTGAATATAAGATTAGGTATCAGTATTTCGTTATTTGACAGAAATTGTCGTAACTCTTTAGTACTCACTACATGTGTACACAACTTTTAAGGACATCCGGACATCGGCCCTGGAAGGCCGAACAAATGTTCCTGCATCTGCAGTCATGAAACAACGTCAACGGCCATGACGTATCAGATTATCAAATATCTCTTTTCCGCTTTTTTTGGTTTTTGAATTTGGCAACTTTGTGCAAAGCGCTACATATCGGTATCGGGCAATGCTATATATCGATTGAAAGGTCTTGACATAATCTACAAAACGACGCTATTCATAAAAAGTTTGGTTATTGCGTTGAAAAGTTATACATGTGTAAACATGGAGTTCGCTAGCGCCGAAATTCGCGCTGTTTTAAAGTTTTCCTTTGTTAAAGGTAAATCCGCTAGAGAAACATTCCGTGAGACTAATGGTGTTTTAGGGGATGGTACTCTATCACTTCGAATCGCGGAGGAATGGTTTCGACGATTCTGAGCCGGTGAAAACGACATCATGGTTAAGCCAGCTTGCGGAAGACCTGTGACGACGAATACCGGTCAAATCATGGAAAACATCGAGCTAGACCGGCATGTGACATCTCGTGACATCGCCGAGAAGATAGGAGTTAGTCACCAAACAATTTTAAACCATCTGAAGAAGGCTGGATACAAAAAAAAACTGGATGCTTGGGTGCCGCATGATTTGACGCTAAAAAAACTGGTGGACATAATCAACGCCTGCGATATGCCGCTGAAACGGAATGAACTCGACCCAGTTTTGAAGCCGATGGTGACTGGCGACGAAAAATGGATCACATACGACAATATCAAGCGAAAACGACGTGGTTGAAGGCCGGTGAATCGTCAAAAACAGTGGCATTTGTTGGGATTGGAAGGGAATCATACACTTTGAGCTACTCCCATATGGCCAGAAACTTAATTCTACCATCTACTGCGAACAACTGGACTGCTTAAAGCTGCCGATCGACCAGAAGCGACCAGAATTGGCCAACAGGAAGGGTGTACTGTTTCACCAGGATTTTATCGCATCCACCATATAGCCCGGACATAGCGCCAAGTAACTACCACCTGTTCCTGTCCATGCCCTTACTGGTGTAAAGTTGGGCTCAAAAAAGGGTTGTGAAAAGTGGCTGTCAGAGTTTTTCCCAAATAAGGAGAGGGAAGTTTCTACGTGGGGGGTATTATGAAGTTTCCGTCTTAATGAAAACACATTATCGAACAATACGGCGCATATTTTAGCTAAGTCCGTTCACTGTATCAATTTTTATAAAGCATTGAATAAAAAACAAAGAAGCGGAAGGGAGTTATTTGACAACCTAGCATTTGCATGACTGTCTCTGTCGCATAAGAAACAAAGCAAGATGCCTAATTTTTATTATACCCGTTACTCGTAGAGTAAAAGGGTATATTGTATTCGTGCAAAAGTATGTAACAGGTAGAAGGAAGCGTTTCCGACCCTATAAAGTATATATATTCTTGTTCAGGATCACTAGCCGAGTCGAACTAGCCATGTCCGTCTGTCCGTCTGTCCGTCTGCCTGTCCGTCTGGCTGTCCGTATGAACGCTGAGATCTCGGAAACTATAAAAGCTACAAGATTGGCATTTTGCATGTAGATTTGAGGAGTTCCTACGCAGCGCAAGTTTGTTTCAAAATGGTGCCACGCCCCCTCTGACGCCCACAAGCCACAAGCTGTGGCCACAGTTTTGATGCTATTATGAAAATTTTAATTGATATTTGTTTCGTCAATACCTATCGATTGGCCGAATAAAAGTTTGCCACGCCCACTCTAACGCCCAAAAAGCCATTAAACGCTTAAGCCTGGCTAGCGCCTACATTTCCGCCTTTCATGGCGCCATCTAACGGATGACTTTGGAATAGCTGGCCAAGGTGCTCAACAGAGTCAACGTTAATTCTCGATAAGAATTTCTATTAAAGGAAATTGCGATGGTTTTCATTTGTCAATACCGAACTATATCCTAAGAACTATGCAAATCAAATCAAGTTAGCCAAATTGGAGGTCTGAGTCAAACAATGTCGTATGTGTGTATGTATGTAAGCATATACATATGTATGTATTTACATTGTACACAGTTGCAATTGCATATTTATATTAAGTTGTTTAGCTGAGTAACGGGTATCTAATAGTCGAGGCACTCGACTATAGCGTTCTCTCTTGTTTTTATTTTTATTTTATTTTATTTTTAATTCCTCTCAAAATATATAATTTGGTTTATTTTCTAATTCTTTTTCTGTTCTTCTCCATCACTCTAAAATATTTTATGGAGACTGAGAAAACGCCGCCACAATGTCAAACGGTTCATCTAAGCCACACAATTCCAGTCGCAGTCGCAACAGGATAATGGCACTCCCATCTTCAATTTCATTATTTGTGGTGGCATCTCTGGCAGATCAAGTAAGTTCAAAAATTCCGTTGGGTAATTTAAATTGAATCTTTTTGTGGCATACTTTGATTTGCGCTCAAACTATTTGAAGGGATGAAATTATAATCACCCATCATATATTTCAAATAGTTTATTATTATTTCTCATGGTTTTCAATGTACACATGTGAAAGTCATGAGAGATTGGTGGAGAGTATTTTTTAACTAAGTTTTATTATATCTCTCATACTTTTTACATTTTCTAACTCCTAAAATCAATTAGCCTCTTTTTCATAATCATAAATCATCATTATCATGTACCATTCTTGTATCGTTTTTTATATTATTTCTTTTTTTTTTTCGTTTTTTTCCCTTTTCTTTTGTGCTTGGCAACTTAGGCAAGTGCTGAGTAGATAACAACCAAATTGGGACCTCAACACATGTTGTGTCAAAATTGCTCAAACGGTTCATAACTTTTCGAGTACATCGGCCACAAACATAAGCAAAGAGCATTTTTATATACAGTGGCTCACAGCTTATTTGACCCACACCTAATTTTCAACATTAAACAGGTATAACTCCTGAAGCATAGAGATACCCATAAAAATAAAACGCAGAAAGGTTAACTGTTGATTTAACTTACAAAATATGTTTTCATTTATTTATTATAGCAAGGAACTTCTAAATTTAATATTTTTTGGGTCCGAAGGACGTTCTTACGTATGGCGTAAAGCTAATACAGAGCTGCAGGACGAACATCTAAAACCCACCGTTAACCATGACGGCGGACACGTTATGGTTTGGGCCTGTAAGTCCGCAGCATGAGTCGGAAACCTTAAATTTATTGAAAGCACAATGGATAAAAATGTTTATCTTAATATCCTTAAGAATAATTAACTCCAAAGTGTTAAGAAATTGGGAATAATACAGGGTTTTCGGTTCTACCAAGACAATGACCCAAAGCAAAAGTCGGGTATAGTTCAATATTGGCTGGGTTATAATTGTCCCCATATAATGAAATCGCCAGCTCAGTCACCCGATTTTAATGTTATTGAGAATTTGTGGGCTTTGCTGGACTCAAAAATTCGGGAGCGCAATATTTCCAATAAAAATGACGGCTTTGCTCGAAGAATGGGCTAAAATCACCACAGAAACCACAAAAAAATTGGTCGAATCCACTCCCAATCGACTGAAGTCGGTTGTGGACCAAAAGGGCGGACATACCAAATACTAAAAGTTTAACAAATTTTTTTTTGCAATTTTTTATAATTAATTTGATGATCTGGGTCAAATAAGCTGTGACGTTGAAAAAGGCAGTATTTTTAGTTTTTATTGTTTAATTTAGAAGTTCCTTGCTATAATAAAAAAATGAAAACATATTTTTTAAGTTAAAACAACAGTTAACCTTTCTGCGTTTTATTTTTATGGGCATCTCTTATGGTTCAGGAGTTATAGTCAAACAAGCTGTGAGCCACTGTATATAGTGACATATTCACATATTCATACCAAGAAATAAGAAGAAGAAGCTGGTGATGCCGCTCTACAATAACATAAACAATTATTGCAATGACTAAGTGCCGCGCCCTATGTGGCACTCTCACTCTCAAATTATTGAATACAATCAATATCCCAAGCGGGCAATCTCGCTCCCAATTTTATGTAAACAAAGCGGAACACAAAAAGATTTTGTCACAAGAATTTAGTCTTAAGCCAATTTTCAATTAATAAAGTCTCAGCGCCACATTGTGTTTTTAATTCAAAGTTCCAGCCCAAAGGCTGGATCATTTATTCGACTCAAACTAAATAATTTCACTGGCGCAGTCGGTAGGATACAAAAAGTATCCGAAAAAAAGATCATCGAGTGGAAAATAAATTAAATTTTATAATCCAGTTCTCGATAAAAAAAAAATTACGCAACACATTTTAATACCCTTCAACTTGGATTATATTTCCAATTCGGTTGTCCAACAAAAAGTGGAAGAATTAGTGAAAAATAAAAACGATAGGTCCAAAGGCAACTAACAGTTAAGCAAATTATAAAAAATTAAATTAGGCACTACAAGTTAAATAAGTAAAAACAAATAAAAAGAACAAGTATTTCTACTGAAATTTTTACAAAAAATTTAATTATACAACAATGGCACAACCAATTATCGCCGCACCCGAAATCGTGGCGCTAAGCGACAACAACCTTGCTGAAGCTCGTCGGCAGCTAAAAGATATCATACCATTTAAAGGTGATCCAGAAAATCTGTACACCTTCGTCAGCAGAGTTAATTATGTCTCTTATCACTCTACCAAACTAATGATGTAACAGTGACAACGTTTTTTTTTAGGTGGACCAAAAAAAAAAAACGAAAACGTAACATAACCATATTGCGTCCTTCCAAAATAGAAGACTGGCCTCCCCTTAGATCGAGACTAGTTGCAGAATTTAAACCCCAAACACCGAACTACAAATTACTGGAGAACTTCAGGGAGACACCTTACAAAGGAAATCTGAGAGCATTCTGCGAAGAAGCTGAAAGACGACCGACGTCAACTCCTGATTTCGAAATTGCATCTGAAAGGTAACCAATCAGATTTTCTCATTTATGTTCAGGCGATTAAAGATTCCAATTAAAATACTGATCAGAAAATTACTGTTTAGAGGAGGCATTAATTTATGCCACCTTTTTTGCGAATGTTTAACGAATTTTAAACTATGCGGTGTGTGAACGGTGTTAAAAGAAAAAGCCGAGAGTATGGTTCGATTTCAAATATGTATGTTTTATTGCTGGAAGCGAGAGAGAACGAACTGCTTCGTACCAGCGATCAAAAGCGAATGCAAAAATGAGAGTGCGCAGTTCCGAGAGATCAGCGAGCGCAGTCGCTTATCTCGGCTTATCTCACCCACGCATGCAGATAGATAAATGAGAAGCTTTTGTTTATATTGTTGTTGTCAGTGATGCTGACCAAAATAGAAAACAATAAATGGTTTTGAAATGATTTTAAATTGATTTCTGCGGCTGCTCCCGACATGCTCCCCCGTTGGAAGAGTCATGCTTCCAAGTGAAGTGGTTTCAAGGGGCAGTACCGCCAGCTTCCTCATTGCCCGCTTGCATAGTCCAGAGTCGGTTCGGATGACTGCAACTCGTTCGACGCCATCCTCTCCGGAGATGGTGCTCTCGATCCTGCCGAGGCGCCACCGCAAAGGGGGTATGTTGTCCTCCTTGATGAGGACCATGCTTCCTGCCTGTATGCTGCTCACAGGAAGGCGCCATTTGGTCCGATCCTGCAGCAGCGAAAGGTAGTCGGCGCTCCATTTGCGCCAGAAGGTTTGCTGCATTTGGCATACACGCTGCCACCGGCTCAAGCGGTCGATGTTCAGATGGGTGACATCAGGCTCATCCATTGCGGTGAATGTAGATCCAATGAGAAAGTGTGCAGGCGTAAGAACACTAATATCATCTGGGTTTTCTGAAATGGGACAGAGCGGCCGTGAGTTTAAAATTGCGGAAATTTCACAAACTAAAGTACGCAGTTCATGAAATGTGAGAATCGATTTTCCAACAACACGGATGAAATGATATTTTGCGGATTTGACCGTGGCCTCCCACAGGCCACCAAAGTGCGGGGAACGAGGTGGGATGAAATTCCACCGGATCTCCATCGACGTAAGGGAATTCCATAGTTCAATGTTTTGAGGATCGCTCAGAAACAGCTGCCGAAGCTCAACAAGCTCGAACCCACGAAGTTCGTTGCGTTGTCTGACCAAATCGTTTGAGGCTTTCCCCTCAGGCTTATAAAACGCTTCAGGGCTGCTATGAAAGATTGCGTTGAAAGGTCTTCGACAACTTCCAAGTGTGTAGCCTTGCTGACGAAGCAAACGAATATGGCTATGTAGCATTTCGTAGGGGGCCTGATTTTGACCTCTGACTTCGAATAAAAGGGGCCACAAAAGTCCACTCCAGAGATGACGATTGGGCGATTCGGTTGCACTCGGTCCTCCGGAAGCGGCGCCATGATGTGTTCGACTAGCTTGGGCTTTAATCTGAAACATTGAATGCACTTGTTGATGACAGCAGAAACCGTTTTTCGCCCTCCAATGGGCCAGAATCTCTGTCGTAAAGCTGCTAACAAGCTCTGTGCTCCTGCATGAAGGAACTTGCGATGAAAATGATCAATGATAGCTGATGTTATGTGATGAGACTTGGGAAGAAGGGTTGGAAGGGTTCTTGGCATCGAAATCCAGCTGCGAATTATGAAGGCGTCCGCCGACGCGCATTAGACCTCCTGCATCTATAAATGGGTTTAAGGATAGAAGTTTACTCCTCGGCGACAGCTTCATCTTCATGGTTAGTGCCTTGCGATCTTCGGCGAAATGCACGCGCTGAATCCCTTTAAAGAGTAGATGAGTACCACCTTTGATTTCCTCGACTGTAAGCTCTCCTTTATGCCGTACTCGATCCTTGCTGACCCTTTGAAGGAACCGATATATATATCCGAAGACTCTCTGCATTCTCCCAAACGAGTTTCCAAACTTGCAACTTTGCGAGATGTCTATTTCCTGCGACAGCACCAATGCGCTGCGTCGACGCTCAGGAAGTTCCTTGACAGGGGGTGCGTCATCGGGCCATGTAGAAGAATCAGTGAGTAAGAACTGCGGTCCTTCACTCCAAAGCTTTGATCCCACCAGCTCAATAGGGGTACATCCACGAGATAAGATATCTGCCGGATTCTGTCGTGACGGTACGTGCCTCCAAGTCATTCCCTTAGTTCTCTCCTGTATCTGCGAAATCCTGTTCGAAACGAAAATGTTAAAGTCCGAAGGAGGTTGACGGATCCAAGCCAAAACTATTGTCGAATCTGACCAACAATGAAAAGAGCAAGATCGAGGTGCAATTTGTGCCACTTGAGAGACAAGTTCGGACAGTAAAAGAGCGGCAGATAACTCCAACTTCGGAATCGTGAGGGTCTTCAAGGGTGCGACTCTTGACTTTGAGCAAAGTAGGTTCGAAGAAACTATGCCTTGGTTCTCTGATCGAACGTAAATGCAAGCTCCGTAAGCTGCCATGCTTGCATCGCAAAATCCATGTATTTCGCACGATGAGTTATGCTGTAGAACAAAGCGTGGAAATTTCAAGTAAGCAACTGCGGCGATCTGCGACATGTGCTCCAACCAAGCGGAATGTAAAGATTGCGGCAGAGACTCATCCCAGTCGAGTTTATCCTTCCATAAGACCTGCATGAAAATTTTAAGTTTGGTTATGATCGGTGCTATTAATCCAAGGGGATCGTAAAACCTAGCGATAGCCGACAGAATGCTGCGCTTAGTTGCGGGTTTTTCAGTCCATTCGTTTGAGAAGCTGAAAAGCAAGCTATCCGATAGCGTGTCCCAAGATAAACCTAACGCCTTTGTAACGTCAGTTCCGTCGTGGAACTTTAAAGTTTTCTCCCGATCCGAGTCATCCACTCCTTCTAGCGCCGCAGGTTCGTTGGAACACCATTTGCGAATTGGGAAATGTCCTCTTTCCAAGAGCGCCTTGATTTGTTGACGAATTTCAACGACCTCCTCAATGGTGTCTCCTCCTGCGATTAAATCATCGACGTAGAAATTTGTGCGTATGATGTTAGCTGCTACTGGAAACTCCGCTTCTTCATCGTAAGAGAGCTGCTGCATTGCACGAATTGCCAAAAAAGCAGCAGGCATCGTGTCATAGGTTACGGTGTCGAGCGAGTAAACTTGTACCTCGTCTTCTGGCCGATCGCGCCACAAAATACATTGTAGAAACTGATGGGGATGTGTAACCCGAACGCAGCGATACATTTTGCAAATATCTCCACACAAAGCAACCTTGAAAAATCGAAAACGAAGCAGGGTAGTGAAGATTTTTGGTTGAATGGAAGGGCCAGCGTACAACAAATCGTTTAACGAATATCCCGAAGTGGACTTCGCGGAGCCGTCGAAAACAACTCGCAGTTTTGTCGTTGTACTTTCCAACTTTTGGACGCAGTGGTGGGGTAGGTAATATTGATGAGCTGCAGCATTTTTAGTTGCTAGAGACATGTGGCCAAGGTTTAGATACTCGTCTATAAAGGCTTTATATTGCGACTTCAGCTCTAAATTTCTAGCTAATTTGGCCTCGAGTGCTTTAAAACGAAGAAGCGCACGATCGAATGAATCTCCTAGAACATCGAAACTAGTTTTGGCAGGAAGTAGTACCGAATATTGGCCAGATTCAAGCCGAGTGTATTCCTGCTGAAATAGCTGCTCGCATAGAGCTTCCTCTTTCGAAATGATTTTTGTAGAATCTGCGCAATTGTCGATTTCCCAAAATTTCTTTAGTATCTCAGAGATCGACTCCGAATGAGTGCTGGGCTCTTGAGATATGGAAACTAAAGATAAGGGAACGGAAGATCCTACTGTCAGACACCCTGAGATCGACTCCGACTCCGAATGAGTGCTGGGCTCTTGAGATATGGAAACTAAAGATAAGCGAACGGAAGATCCTACTGTCAGACACCCTGAGACGATCCAGCCAAGTCTGGTTTTCTGCAGAGTGGGTAAATTGCTGCCTAATCGAATTTGTCCAATACAAAGCAGCTCGAAGAATATGCTTGCTCCAATAAGCAAGTCGATGCGTTGACTTTTGTAGAAGAGCGGGTCGGCGAGCTCGAGATTTTCCGGTATTTTCCATTCAGACGCGTTAAGATCGAAATGCGGGTGATAATCGGTTATTGACTGGGTGACAGCAGCTGAGAGCGAAGCTCTATACTTTGCGTTACTCGACTGCGCGAAAATATAAACCGATTTATCCGAAGCGAGCGAGGATTCACCGATTCCTGATATGGAGATGACTGACCGATGGACCTTGAGCTGAAGCTGATTGGCGAAACGAGAGGTGACGAAATTGATTTGAGAAGCCGAATCGAGCAGGGCTCTGCATGGCACGAACTCGCCAGAGCGATTTTTTACGTAGACTATGGCGGTATTCGGATCTAGTCGGCGATGAAGCTAAAGGCTGTATTTTGGACAAGGCTAGAGAGACGTGAGATGATCCTTGCGGAAGTATTTCTGGAGCAGGCTGGGGCAGGGTTGCAACGGGATTTGGTTCCAAGTGAAGAAGACTATGATGCCTCTGGCAGCAGTGTCTACAGTTGCCAGACTTGCATTGCTGTAGGCTGTGTCCCTTTCGTAGGCAGTTAAGGCAAAGATGTAGCCTTTTTGACTCTCTATACCGCTGATTGGGGTTCAATCCTAAGAATTGTGGACATTTTGTCAAATAATGTTCCCTAGACTCGCACAGGGTACATGCTGGCATAGTTGATGATGAAGCAATGAGGGTGCTACGACAAAATTTGCTAGCTACTTTTCCAACCTGTTTGCTAGGTGCTTGGTTTACCATAGCGTATTCCAAATTTTCCATCATGCGGCATCTAAGATCCAAAAACGATGAGAATTTATCCCAATTTGGCAGCTCCTTGGAAGGCAACCCTTCTTCCCACCTCTCCTGGGTCTGAATGTCCAGTTTTGAAACGATGAGATGGATTAAAAGGCCGTCATAGATTTCCTTCGTAGAGGCCATAGTAGCCAGGGCGCGCAAATGAGAATTTGCCTTGTCGCTCAACTGCCGCAGGCTACTTGCGGATCCCTTCTCCACCCCTGGTAGCTTGAATAAAGACCGAACATGAGCCTGAAAGTGCAATAATTTATTATCAAATCTCGAGGTTAATAATTCCAAAGCCCTGTCGTAATTATTTTCCGTGGGCTCTAGAGAGCGAATTGCATCCAGCGCTATGCCGTCCAAACATGCACGAAGATGCTGGAATTTTCCACCTTTGTTAGGTCTTCGTTCTTTCCCACTACCGTGTTGAACATGGCGAAGAAATCCGGCCAATCGATGTATGCTCCGCCAAATCGCGGAAGCTGAAATTCCGGTAGCCTGGTGGGCCGCGAGTTGCACTTGAAGGCGGCAGTGTGGCCACCGAGGATGCCATGCAGCTCAGTTGAATTTGCCAACGACTTTCTCTTTTCACTATTGAGATGGCGGCAGATCCTTCCTTTCGTCTCACAATATGCCGTGGTAAAGGTTAAGCGCGCATCCGACTCCAGCTCCTCGATCACAAGCCGTTCGAGGTTAAGTCGAGAGCTATCGACTTCAGAGTACATGCGCTCGATTAAATCCAACCGCACCTGCAACTCACTTTCGTCGAATTTGGCCAACTGCTCCTCTGTTAGAAATAAATTTAGGGCAGCCAGCTGGCGTACCATAGAATTTGCCTTTGCCCGATAAAACTCCTCGCCGTCTGAATTAAATAAAAATCCAGAAAACAGTAGTAAAAACGCAAACCCTAATCAGAATTTTAAATCATACAAATTCAATACAAATACCCAAACCCAATATCGACCAAGTTATCCACAATATTCTCAACCATTCCAACCTAATTTAAATCCACACACCCAATCATTTAGACCCAACTATACACAGCAGATACCTAACAACCAAACCATGTGGCACGTACCAAATCATTTCGCACCCAACCAATACATGAATACACGACCAATTACTCACAAATATCTTTTCCCACAATATTTCAATAGAATTCAAAACCCTCAAACAGCATATTTTAAAAGAAAATACATACCCTCAATTGCAACAAACCTCCACATATAAAAATACTAACTTCCCGGTTACCAAACGACTAAGACCATCGGAAAGTGAGCAAACAAAAATGTCTATTGACTAATTAAGATTTCAAGACGCACACGAATACGAAAAAATACAACCTAACTATTATGAACAACAATATTTAGACCACAATCAATACCATGGGTTGATTAATGTAGGGCAACAATACATACAATCCAAAATCCAAAATATAAATGAACATAGTCAAAATAGCTCAGAACAAAACGAAAATTTTCGGTTAACAGAAATAGCATACAAAGGTTGCACATACAAATACCTTATAGACACAGGATCCACAATAAATATGATTAATAAAAATATATTTTGTCTTCCCATTCAAAATATCCAATGTGAAGTTTTGACATCAAATGGTCCTGTTACATTGAACAAATTAATCATGTTACCCAACAATAGTATTTTTAAAACAACTGAACCATTTTATGTACACAGTTTTTTTAATAATTACGATATACTAATTGGCAGAAAATTGTTGAAAATGCACAATCAATTATAAATTACAAAAATAGCAAAGTTACTCTTTTTGATAAAACATACAAATAAATAACTTCAAAATTAGAAACAAACCAAAATTTTTATATCCAAAAGACAAAAAAATAGATTTTGAATTGTTTTGATTAGATTACCTGAATCAGGAGAAAACTTTAGGGTTAAAAGCTTAATTAAATAAATTCAAAAATCTTCAATATGAAGAAGGAGACAATCTAACATTTACAAATACTATTAAGCACGTACTAAATACAACACATAACTCCCCAATTTATTCAAAACAATAACCCCTTGCTCAAGCGCACGAAATTGAAGTCGAAAACCAAGTGCAAGAAATGCTTAATCAGGGATTAATTAGGGAAAGTAATTCACCATACAATAGGTAGTACCCAAAAAATCAGATGCTTCTGGTAAAATTAAGTATAGGGTAGTAATAGATTATAGGAAACTTAATGAAATAACTATCCCCGACAGATAATCAATACCAAACATGGACGAAATCCTTGGTAAACTAGGAAAATGCCAATATCTTACAACTATCGATTTAGCAAAGGGATTTCATCAAATAGAAATGGACCCAGAATATCTAAAACAGCATTTTCCACCAAAAGCGGACATTACGAATATCTTCGAATGCCATTTGGCCTTCAAAATGCACCCGCTACTTTTCAAAGGTTCATGAATAATATCCTTCGACCGTTGTTTAACAAACACTGTTTAGTGTATTTAGATGATATTATAATTTTTCCACATCCCTTACCGAACATTTAAATTCATTCCAACTAGTTTTTTCAAACTTGCAGAAGCTAGCTTTCTTGGTCACATCGTAACCCCTAATGGCATAAAACCAAACCCCCTTAAAGTTAAAGCCATAGTTTCCTATCCAATTCCAACAAAAGTAAAAGAGATCAGAGCTTTTTTTGGATTAACCGGTTATTATCGCAAATTTATTCCAAACATAGACAGACATAGCAAAACCAATGACCAAATGTTTAAAAAATGAGCAAATATAGATACACAAAATCTTGACTACATAGAAGCATTTAAAAAACTTAAAGCTTTAATAATTAGATAACCAATTCTCCAATTGCCCGATTTTGAAAAGAAATTCACTTTAACCACAGATGCCAGTAATTTAGCCCTTGGAGCCGTACTTTCTCAAAAATGTCATCCTATATCCTTTATTAGCAGAACACTTAAGGGGGTCTTCTAGTCTAGAGGCTCGAATTTTGACCTTTTTTTAACAATTAATAAAAAAAAGCAATAGATATTTTTACCATCCGTTTTTTTATCATTTGTTTATTAAACTTAAAGGAGTACATAAAATAAATTTCAAAGAAAAAAAATAGTTTTCATTGAGTTATTCCTTCTTGAAGAAGAGGGGAAAAAAAGAAGCCGTGTCCGCGTCGCCATGATATTTATGCTTGTAGTTATCTGAAAAATAAAACAATGATAGATTCTTAATGAGTACGAATGTCGCTAAGGCATGAAACACCAAAAAAAAAATCTTTTTTTTCATGAAATGGCGGCTACTTAAAGAAAAAAGTCGTTTTTTTCACTAATTTTTCCACTTTGTCGAATTTTTAAAAATATTATAAATTTAAAATTTTTATTTTTTGTTGGTTTATGCGATAGCGATATATTTAAAGAGTATTCATGCCAAATTTTAAGTAAATCGACTGATTAGAACTTGAGTTAGAGTGGCGACCGCATCAAAAAAAGTAGTTTCGAGAAAAACGCGTTTAAAGTTCCAGTCGTTCCCTCAACCGGTCTAGTTGCCACGTCACTAAAACGGCTATAACTTTGAAAATAATTTGAGTTTTGAAAAATCCTTTTAGGGAGATATTTGTGAATATAAAAACGATCGAATTATGAAAAAAAAAATTTTTCGGTTTTCTCAAATTTCTAGACTAGAAGACCCCCTTAATAAACACGAATTAAATTACAGTGCTATCGAAAAGGAATTTCTCGCAATAGTTTGGGCCACTAAAACTTTTCGACATTGTTTACTAGGACGACATTTTCTCATTGCTAGTGACCATCAACCTCTTAGATGGCTGCATACCTTAAAAGAACCGAATGCCAAGTTACAAGGATGGAGAGCCAAATTAAATAAATACCAATTTAAAATCAATTATATTAAAGGAAAGGAAATTTCAGTGGCCGATGCACTATTAGGAATTAAAATTGAAGAAAATCATAGTGAAGTTACTCAACATAGTGCAGAAGAAGACAATAGCATCCTTATTCATTTAACAGAAAAACCAATAAACTATTTCAAATAATTTTCATTAAATCCGATAAAAATAAAGTTGAGCATTCAACAAAATTCGGTAACTCCATTACCACAATTCAATATAATGAAATAACACTTAAAATGTGTACACTAAACCCGATTACCTTTTTATATACAAAATTAAGAAAACAAGCAAAAATAATAACCCTTTTAAGAATATTCAATGTAAACAATCCACATCCGGAGCTGGCGATGCCGCTCTACAATAACATAAACAATTATTGCAATGACTAAGTGCCGCGCCCTATGTGGCACTCTCACTCTCAAATTATTGAATACAATCAATATCCCAAGCGGGCAATCTCGCTCCCAAATTTATGTAAACGAAGGGCAACACAAAAAAGATTTTTGTCACAAGAATTTAGTCTTAAGCCAATCTTCAATTAATAAAGTCTCAGCACCGCAATTAATTGTGTTTTTAATTCAAAGTTTGGCGTTGGTCTTAACCCAAAGGGTGGATCATTTATTCGACTCAAACTAAATAATTTCACTATATAGATATCACCAGAGCTATCATAGATATCAGCACCAGAAGGCCCTTTGATATACAAAGGGCATAGCCTACTTTGCTTTATATATACACACATACACAGCATGCAAAACAAAATCTATACATTCGACTATGAGCATGTCTCCTCTCAATTGTCACGACCCCAGGTTAAAAGACAATTGAAGTTCGGCTCCCAGGCACATAAAACTACACTTTCATGTAGTAGGCCACCTTACGGCCAATAACCTCTCGATAGTTAATGTTAAGCTAAAATTAAGGTTAACATAATCTTTAAGCAAGCCCAATGCTAGACATTCTATGTATACGTGTTGAATAAAGTGGACATGGCTTGAGAGAATGTGTAATTAGTGCTATATAAACGCCCCTCCCACAAATTCAGAAGTGGTTCAAATCTACGCTGTGGACGACATAAACTTTAAAGAGTACTCGTTTGTTCAGCTAAAAAGATGGCTTCCACATTGGGAATGCCAACACAAGGCCTTAAGGCCGAATTGATGGCTCGTCTTAGGCGTATTCCTCCTGAAGAGCGCGGCCAGGCACCACGTGAGGACGCCAACCAAAACCCTGGAGAAGATCAAGACGCCAACCACAACCCTGGAGAAGATCAACCCGCTAACGAAGATTCTGTAGAAGATCAAGACGACGCCTCCGCCCATGAACTTCAAGGGGCAACGAGCCGAACAACGGACCACCGACTCAAGAGAGGGTGTTTTCCCGAGATGCTCTTGAGCAACAATATCTTCTTGCTATCATCAGGCAGCACCAGGCAGAAGTTAGTACGCATCGCAATTTGTTACAGCAAGCGCAGACACGTGACGCCGGACAACAGCAAAAACAACAAGCAGTTGGCAATGGTGGC